AAAGAAGTACAGTTGCTGTATTTGAAGATGTATGTAGCGAATCTAAAAAGATACAAGAAAAAATTATTCCTTATTTTACTGAAGGACGACATTCTAATATTAGCTCGATTTATATTTCTCAAAGTTTTTTTGATTGTCCTTCAATAATAAGAAAAAATTTAGATTATATAGTTCTCTTTAATGGTAGTTGTAATACAGATGATCTTACCAGAATTCTTCGTCGATATATTGATAATTGGCGTAATGTAGTCAAAGTGATTGATAAATATTTACATGGTCGTAAATTTATAGTTATAGATTTAACAAGAGAAAAAAATGATCCATTTTTTATACGTGCTGGTTGGGATCAACCTCTTGAAATTTCTAATGAATAGGATGAATAAATCTTTAGTTATAGCCGTGCTAGCTTTGCTACTAAAGGCTCTGCTATTGTTTCATACATGCAAGTGCTTTTTCTGCATGTCGTAATTCTAACTTTTTTCTTCGATTTCACAACGTAATTTCTTACTTATATCGTCTCTTTCTTTATAATCTCTATCTAATTCCTGCATAAATTGCCCAAATGTTCTTTCATTAAATTTCAGTAAGTGCTGGAATAAGACTTCAACTTCTTTCTTAACGCGATAATTAATTTCCTCCTCATGATTACATATACAAATCGGTTCAGTATTTTGAGTTTGAGTTTCTTTATTGCCCATTTTTATAGCCTTGTTAACTTCGTTATTATATATACACGATAAATTTTCAAATGAAGGCCAACTTCGACGCTGAAATTTTATTTTTTTCTGGTACCTATTAACTTCATGTCTTAAAAATGCTTCTATTAATGGATTTACAGCACTAGCATCTTCTTCTGGTATTGGATCCCGCTTTCTGAAAATAAGACGTTTCCAAGTCTCGTGCACTAGTGAGGGTGGTAGTTTCCGGATTAATTCTGAATATGCTTGATTAAATTTTGCCGACATGTTGTAGCTGGTATAATTATATTCAACATATAGAGAAATAGAAAAATCTTTATAAAAATTATGAAAATTATGGAAATAATGGAAATTATGAAAATTATCCAAAACCGGAGTTTAAATGTGGTTGAATCATGCTAGAATCAAGCTAGAGTCACGCTAGATTTTTTCTATATAATTATATGTAAAATATCATACTTGTGCTAGAGTCGAGCTAGAATCATGCTAAAAATATAGTAAATCATAATATCTTTAGTTACACTAAAGGCTCCGCTAAAATATAATAAATCATAATATTAAAATATAGTAAATCATAATATTAAAATATAGTAAATCATAATATTAAAATATAGTAAATCGTAATATTAGCCATGTTAGCTCCGCTAAAATATAGTAAATCATCTTTAACAACCGCTAATTCGATTTTTAGAAAAAAGTAGTATAAAGACAATAAAAAAATATTAATAAAATTGTATATAGTAACATATTATATTCTAACGATATTCGGATATGTGAGATTTGCATAATAATCTGGATTCTCAATCCATTTTACCATAACATACCAAGATCTCCCACAAACTACTCTATAGCCTTGTTCTTTTAACAACTCTTTAAGATGATTACTCAATCTTTGTTGTAATTGATGTTTCTTGAAACTTATCCAATCACCCGGAATATAATATTCTTCATATTCATATCCTCTTTGATAGAGGTAGAGCATATCAAAGTTTTTTTCTTTTTTATACATTGTGATAATATTATTACGCCACAGATTGAATTGATCCCGAGTTTGAAGGTTTTTCACTTTGCGAGTAGTTATACCTAAGTATTTATTTTCGTCGGGAATAATATCTGCTTTTACGGAATTCCAGACTTTAGCAGCCAATGATTCAGGTCTCTTCTTAAAATTTCTCCAAGCCCTTTGTATGATCCTTGCACATCCAAAATCAGTTTTAGGTTTAGCGCATTTGTGATCCCAATGATCTAGCATCAGATCTTTAGCTTCTATAATTTCTATATATCGTCGACGATTGAATATTTTTTTAGGTTTAATGTTAACATTAACACGAAATATTTTCCAACATCCAAAACAGATCGCAGTTCCATTCTTAAATGGTTTTGGTCTGTAGTAATTTTTGTAATTATTATAATCTTCAAGTCTACCTCCAGGATAAGAAGCGAATAAGCAATATCTATGATACATACCAAGTTTATTCCCGCTTAATAAGCCTTGAAGATTAAAATTTTCACCTCGTTTTACGATAGACAAACTATCGTATAATTTTTCAATCTCAAAGATATTTTTAAGTCGTTCACTATTATAATAATCATATTTATTAATAATCGCCATAACATATTTCATGTCATATCCAGGACGATTATTAAAGGGTTTAGGTAATTGTCTTTCATTGTCGCCGTGAATAATAATTGTAATATCAAAACTAGTAATTATAATGAGTTTAATAATTTATATGTGATTTTATTAACCTATAAGTTAAGAAAAACTCGATTCATTTTTTGTGTAAATTCTAGTTGAATCATTTTTAATAAAACGAGAAGATAATTATAGTTATTATTGATATATGGGAACAAATCAAAATATATACATTAATACGCATGATTTTTAACAAGAATCTAAATCATGTGTAGTTAATCCAATTTTGATATACCTGCATATAATCGATCGCATAAATATATCAACTGACCTCTTACATGTTCTATGAACTTCTAATAATAACCAAATTAGCTAAATCGCACATGAAAACA